CTAACAATCTTAACCCTAACTCTAACTATCTTAACCCTAACCCTAACTACCCTAACCCTAACTACCTTAACCCTAACTACCTTAACCCTAACTACCTTAACCCTAACCACCTTAACCCTAACCCTAACTATCTTAACCCTAACCCTAACTACCCTAACCCTAACTACCTTAACCTTAACTACCCTAACCCTAACTACCCTAACCCTAACTACCCTAACCCTAACTACCTTAACCCAAACTACCCTATCCCTAACTATCTTAACCCTAACCCTAACCCTAGCCCTAATAACCCTAACCCTAACTACCTTAACCCTAACCCTAACTACCCTAACCCTAACTACCTTAACCCTAACTACCTTAACCCTAACTACCCTAACCCTAACTACCTTAACCCTAACTACCCTAACCCTAACTACCCTAACCCTAACTACCCTAACCCTAGCCCCTGGTGTATATAAAGATGAAAGCATTCATATTCTCTGCCCTTTCTTGAGTATCCAGCTGTTGTGAGTGAGAAACATTCATTTAGAAAACAAACACCTGGACCCTCTGACATGGACTAATTGACCTAACCTTTCAGACTCCGACCCCTTAGGCTCCTTCAGAACTCGCACGTTTGAAGTCGAGAACGAAATGTCACCATTTAAACATCATACGTCTTAATGACTGTAGTGAGCCTCATATCTGGAATGGCCCTGAGATTTGATTCAAACAAAGCAGCTTTTGGATTCCCTCTGCTGGTGGTTTTTTCTCCGGCCTAATCGGCCTTTTAACACCACAAGCTGATCATCCTGATCTGTCCGATAGTTTGATTCATGATCAAATCACCGGCACGAGGAGGGACTAAATACACCCAATAAAAACACACCAAACATCTTTTCAGCTTCAGAAATAGTCCGAGCTGGACGCAAATACAAAAAGAAGATGTCTATTGATCACCAAACTGGCCTGAAAGTCATCATGTGACGCTGACACATTGAGTTAAACAATGTTTCTGTTTCTATAAAAGTATCTCCTATACTAAAATCGTTGTAAAGTTAGGGGTGCTCAATTTAACATTAACATTATTTTGTTTCGGAAACTCACCTAACTGAACATTATCGTTGAAAATAAGGACTTTTAAAGTCCTCCAGCTACTGGAGCTTCTACTCTATGCGCCTTATATATGGAGACCATTTTGACATAGGCCGTTCATTCAAGGTGCGCCTTATAGTGCAGAAAATAGGGTACCAATCGGGCCAAATGTGAGGACAGGACAAGGGGCCATAAAGGGAAAATGAGGGGGCCGGATGCTGACCACACAGCTCTGATTTTCTCCTGCTAACAGCCTCCCGAACAGGCCTGAGCGCCGGGGTTAATGTGCCCACGGCTCCCACCAGCCCCGGTAATTGTAAAATCACCCCTCATTTCCCAGAGACAATAATCCCATCAAAATGGAGGCCGTCTAGTTTTGGGCTCTGCGCTCTGCTTTTGTTACTCTGGGCTGATAATGGAGGATGAAACGTGGCTGGAAATACTGAAATGTTTCGGCTTTTCTTCCTGGAATAGCTGTGAAGTTTGTCGTTTTCTCGGTTTGTCTTATTGTGTTTGTGATAGGACACAACATACGTGTGTTTTTCTGATGGAAGAATGATTACATGTGAAGTTTCTAATCTTCAGCATGAGGTTAGATAAGACTTGGAGGCACGAGGACCATAAAATTGAGGTCAGGAGTCTTTTTTTATGGGGTCAGAGAGTGGAGCCTGTCTCAAAACGCCTCGGCAGAGCCGGACGTCTGCAATCTCCTGCTGTAGCATCGATCTGTCAGCAAGGCAGATTTCACAGCATCACACTTCCTCCTGCTTCCAATTTGTCTGTATCACACCTGAAAATAGACGTGTGTGTTTGTGTGTGTGTGTGTGTGTGTGTGTCCCACCTCCTCTGCTGGTTGAAGTAGCAGGTGAAGGAGCCATTGCTGACCTCTTTGGTGAAGAAATCCTCCCACCACAGGACGTTGTCTCTGTTCCTCTGGTTGTCCCTCTCACAGGGGGGGACGTACGAGCACTGGGAGACACACAAAAACAGACTCACAACCCATCTGAGTCATGTGGCGTCTCCTGTGGTTTGCAGGGGCGTGTCTAGACCTTCAGTAGAGCTCCGTCTGAATCAGTTCACCCCTCTATAACTATTTTATGGCTATGAAAATCATCTTATTATGTAGAAATACAGTATAAAGATCAGGGGTGCACAAATCTTTTACTACACCGCCCCAAAAAAACAAATAAACATCAATAATATCCTCATAAACTTGAATATTATTCAGGAAAAAAGCAACATCTGACTATTCAAAAATTTGGATTATTTGTAGACAAAATCCATCCTCCTCTCTTTCCTTAAAATAGTTAAATGACTCTGTCATACAGATTATCCGTTACACCAACACAACTCTATTTCCGTTAGTTTGCAAGACATCTTTGACTTTGACCCTGCCTAGCAACAAGTGATGGCTGAAATGTGATTGATTAAATGCTTTAATACAAAAATACATGTCTGGAAGCAGCCCAACCAGGAGAAAAGCTATGAAAGGAAGCGGACAGACCATTTGGTAATATTTAATAAGTATTCATAGAGAAATATATAGTTATTTAGGACGGCCCACTACTGGTGGTTTGTCCCTCTGAGTGATATCAGAGTTTATAGTCCTCTGATTACCCAGCAGGCCGCGCTGCCACCAGGTCAAAAGACCCAAAAGTTGGAGTCTGATTGGCTCTTAGGGGGTCCGTTTCTCTGTCTCACATCTCCTCACACATGGCAGGAGGCTGATTGGTGCCTGGCTGGAGGATCCACTAGTTGCTATGACAATGATGTGATTGGTAGAGAAGAGAGGGCGGGGGGTCTCCATCATGAGGAAAAAACAAAACATTTAAGCCATCCAAAGCTTTCAACCTTAAGCTCTACCTCAGTGAATGTTCGGTAACTACAACTCTGCGTTTCTCATAGGAAACCATAAAGAAATAAGCTTAAAAACACTGACTAGGACCAGGGACAGTCTTCCCAAAGTCCAATTAACAGTCCTCCATGGAGCTGTTTTCCTCTGGAGGAAACCCGGAGCAGGTGGGACTGTCTGGGGGCCCACAGCTGGCCCTCTGGAGGCTTTGTAAGGCGTTAACTTCCATTTCAAAGAGCTCCACACGGGCTTTCTCATGTGTCCCTTTGCCCCCGATCCTCTCTCAATTCTGAGCGATTTTTAAGCTTTCCCTTTGTTCCCTTCCCACTCAGTAGTCAGTCTTCTTGTGGCCACATTCAGTGTTTGACTCCAGTTTGATCAACGTGGAGAAATTGAATCTCTTTTTTATCACATCACCAATTCTGACACCTTTATACAGTTCAATTAAAACACCTTTATCCCCCCAAATGGGAAATTCAGGGTGACTGTAGTCCCATTTTAAGAGAGATTAGCTTTCAGGTCGTTTCATGAGGCCTTATCCAAGTAATTAAATATGAAAATAAATGTAAAAGCAATGGTCAGGACCCAGGAACTGAACAGCCGAGGGAATAAAAGCTTTAAAACAGCAGCACCATGCACTAAAACTAACCCATTTTACTCCAAAACAAGAGTAATAATAGAGTATTTTCTCGTCCTTAACTCTTCCTCATCCTGGGAAACTGGCTGAATCCGGTCTGACCTGTTGAGTTTTCCCCGGTTTGGTGCACATGGCAGGTTTCAGAGCCTCTTTATGTGAAGCATTCATGCTGCAAAGCTCAGGGAAATCAGTGAGTAACCAGCTTTAAAAAGTCCTTATTGCTGGTTATTAGTTTTGCTGCTTTGCTAACTCCCTAAAACCTATTTTTCAACATCAGAAAGCCGCGTTCAGGTAGCTGAAGGGGAGCAGACGGGCTCTGCCTGGCTGGTGAGAGGAGATGAGACCTGATTGCATTGTGTTGGATATCTGTTGAAATGTCACAATTACCATACTTATTCTTTTTTTTTAATATGGCACTTTGTACTTTTGGTATTTGAAACGATGATGAATACTTTAATTTGTTGCAATTTCAAAGAAAAACACAGAAATGGCTCATTTGAAAAAACTGAAACGTTACGCAAAAGTATTAGTGATGAGATTATTGCAGTTTCATAACCATAGAATATGCAATTACCCAATCACTGTGTGTTTGTTTAAAAAGAAAGACGACAACACGGCTGATCGGAAGCAGAAAAATCCATTGACTACAGACTGTAATTATCAGTGTTACAGTTAAGTTTGGTCTGATATGAGAACAGATAGCTTAGGATGAACCAAAAAGGAAAAGTCTGGTGTGCTTATATTCGGAGTTTAGAGCTAAAGTAATAGATAAAGGATTTAAAAAATGGATTTCCAAAGGGATAACGACATACTGTTCTCTTACAGAAAAGGGACAATTTAAAAACTTTGACAGGTTGAAGTCAGACCATAACCTCAATGACCGCATTTTAAAAATCTATACTGATACTTTTCAAGGAAAATCTAACAAAGGTGTCATCTCCAGAATGTGTAAAGGTCTACAAAGTCTCACAATACGGATTAAGTCAGGAAAAAGTTTCATTTTTAGGAAATTTTGATTTACAGGGCAGGAAAGCGGATGAATACTTATTAGATATTTTCACTGAAAGCTGGGTTAAATATGCTGGTTTGAACAGACAGAAGTACAGAATGGTTATATGATATTTATTCTATTTTATTTGAATGTTTTGTTGTATAAGGATTAATGTATCTCCAAAGCTTTACTTCAAAACTGCGTGGAGGACATTTTATTTATGTATTTTTTGCTTTTTTATGTAAGTCTATCTTCCCCAGTTTGTTCAAAGTTGTTAGATGTCATTTACGTAACACACAAAAATATTTGGGAGTGGCCAGAAAGCAACTACCACTGTATTGCGATGTTCTCACAAAATAAAAATAATTAAAAAAAATAAAAAAGGAAACTTTTGAAAGTTCCATTAGAGGTTAAAATATGTGTTTTAAGAATATGAGCTATGGGAGCCATAGATCAGGCTCATATGGAGCTTATTAATGGGTGTCTCGACTATAGTTTCAATTAATATATTGCCTTGTTATTTATCTGTCTTAATCTAAAGGGTTTTGAATGTTTTTGGATCTAAATAAATGCAGGTTTGAATGGTGAGTGAAAGTAAGTGTGTAAAAGTAAATGTTACAATGTTAAGTTTGTTGACTGGAGGTTTGTTGTGTTAAAAAAGAGAAAATTCAATCAAATATATTTGAGAAAAAAAAGAAAAGGAAAACTTTAGTCCTGTCTCCAGCCATCAGGAGACCCCTGCTGACCTACAGAGGGGAGATAGAGCCAACAGGTTCACAGCTTTTGTTTCTGTCTTTTTTTATTTGTTTCTGTCTTTTATTTTCTTTCTTTTTTTGTTTCTGTCTTGCTTCTCATTACCAAGCCATTCATTCCCGTGCCCGTTCAGCCAATAGCAGGGCGCGCCCCGGCCTGTGACATCAGAGCTGGGTTCGCCCTGCTGGGTGATTGCTGTTGCCATGCCAACGGGCCGGGTTACAACCACAACAGTGTGTGCGTCTGAGTGTGTAACGAGGGGGCTAAATGAGATCAGTCCAGCCTGTGAGTGTGCTTTCAGGATGACCAGGAGGAGGGTAATAAAGTCTAAGTGGACATCTGGCAAAAAGATTTATTTACGTTTTTATTTAAATTTGAACTTTTCTATTTTATTGCATTGTGTTTATGTATTTTAGCTTTTAGTTTTTACCTTATTTCCTGCATTTGTGATATCTGTACAGCACTTTGGTCCAAAACTTTGTTTTAAATGTGCTTTATAAATAAAGTTTGTGCTTCATAACTAAAGTTTGGGATGAGAAAGTGTTCCTCCTGCAAAAATGCCCGTCTGATTTCACACTCTGTGCTTTGATGAACTGCCTTTTCCCAGAAAAATCACCCTTTTTTCATCACACAGGTTAATGCTGGGCTCATTTCTCTCATTTCTATTTAACGTCTTAGCAACCGAGACTAATTCCCACCTGCTAACAGCCAGAGTCAGACTGGATATTCACTCATTCTGAGGTTTAGAGCCTAAAACGCTGTATCAGAGCATCTCAGCTGCCTGTATCCATGAACAGTGACCTGAATTCAGATGGGCAGCAGCAAATCCAGATGAGTTAACCCCTAAAAAGCATCTGGAGGCTGAGAAACGTTGATAAAAAACGTGGAGATAAACGGGCTGGGGACATCAAAGGGGGGGGGGGAGTCCAAAGGAGAAATGAGAAGTTAATTACTGAGCTCTAAAATGAATAATTGATGGAGGAATCAATCTAAAACAAGCCACCCGAAGCCTTCAGCTTTGGGCCGAGGCTCCGTAAAAACACATTTCTGACTCTCGGTTTAAGCTGTTGACTTTGTGGCTGTCAAGATAAAAAGTTTCTGGCCCAAACTGGCCCAACACACAAACAATTAGCTCCCGGGTGGGGGGATCCATCACATCCTGACAGCTCTGGCTCTGCTCGTCCTCGTCTGATCAGTCAAGGAGAGACTTCCCTAATTGCTTGGTAATGAGGAAGTGAAGCTTCTTCTGGAAGTTTTGGAGCCACAGAGGCAGAAAGACACTCCAGTTTTCACACATCAACACCCAAAGTTGTGCTAAAAACCCAAAATACCACCCAAAGTTTTCACGGTCACCAAGAAGTGTGTCAAAGGAGCTAAAGATATTCTGTATTTAAAAAAAACGACCAAGAAAACCAACAGTTTTACCCAGTTTTCGCCCCTTATGTTTAAAAAGTCACATTTATCCCTTTTCATTCCCTTCCAGCACGTTTTCTGAAATATAGACAGCCAAAATAAATCAAGCAACTGGATATTTCAGGAAAAAATCAAAGTGAATTCAGATTTAGTGGTTAGAGCTGCCAGATCTCTCCATCATTCACTTCTACTAAAGAGAAGAAAAAAAGCCCAAATTCATGCAAAATTACCAGAAACATGCATAAAAATCCAGCAGATGTCCAGAGTCAGACCTAAACCATGTATTTGATCTGCTCCCTTCACTTTTCATTTGTCTTGTTTTT